GGTCGTTTTCGTTTGACTTCATGGTCTTCCTCGTTTCAGTCGATGCGCCAAGCCAGCTGAGTGGGTTTTTTTATTTTATTTTTCGCGCAAACGTTTATGTGGTGAACTGTGTTGGTAAAGATGAAGATGTCAGTCAATGAAATTTGCTATATTTCTTGTGTCTAACCAACCCTGCACGGATCGAACTTACGATTCCCGAGTGCAACATGCGTCCTGAAGTCTTCTCCTATTAGCTAGAAATTTCAACTTGAGTGTCAAGTGAAGACTTTGCCAGTTGCAGACGAGGGAATTCTCGCTTCACGACTTTCCTGGTGTGTGGAGATACGTTGGAATGCCGACCCACCACACCCGACATGATGCTTCGGCAGGAATGCAGGTTGATGCAGATAATTGCCTAATAATCATATATTTCTAAGTGCGGCGGTGATAGTGGTAGCACGCGTCTAAGTGTGTATACCTTTCCTTTCGTTGCATGCTTGGTTAATCCGACGGCACGAAATTTTAGACATTTCTTTCCAGGGTCAAAATTAACTTGAATATTATTTTGGTCGTTGTATGTCTTAGTATTCCATATCAGTTTGTGGCCTTTTGTCGCACTCGCCGACTGTATTATGATCTAGTAACATTGGTACAGGGTGGACAGTTAGTCATAACTCGTAACATTTTGTCTTTATTCTTTTTATCCATGGTAACATTGGCTCACCATCCGAGTTGATCTATATATTTTTTGATTGGGCAATATGTAATGTACACACACACACACACCACACACACACATGCACGCACACATCATCACATTACGACAAAATCAAGGCAATGCCGGCGAAGCTCTATAATTTTCTTGTGCCGCGTGCTAGGAGCATAACGGCATTGTGCTGTGAGCATGGCAGAGTGAGGTCTTCCAGCTTTGTTCGTGTTTGCTCTATCTTGTCTGCAGAAAGGATCATGTAGTTCCTGCTCAGCATTACATCCATTGCGTAGCAGCAATGTGCCATCATTCCGCGACTTGGGTGGAATGACGTGCAAGTGGTGCTGCAGGGTCAACTTCAGAGCACGTATGCCGCTGGCTTGGGGTCAGCGGTTGGGTGCAAAGTCTCTGGATACAAATCGTGCACTGTCGTCAACAATATGGCACCCTTGTCCAGCATGTGCTGTAGCGGCAATGACTATATTGTGAAGATCACTCTCGGCATCTTCCGTGCTGTATTGAGAGATGATGCTTCGCAATTGGTGGTCTGTGGTCGATGCACTGTCGGCAGGGAGCATATCAATTTGCTTTTGGTAGCAGCGTCTACAAAATCGACTCTCGTCTGAAATCCTGACGTTGTGCATGCAACGCAACACATGCTCTGCAAGCTGAAAGTTTGGTGACTTCCACCTGTGTGATGGTGTGAACCTCGACTCGACTTACACCAAGCACATGTTCCATGGCCCACACACTGCTGCCGAGTGCTGGTAGTGGTAATTAGGTAATGGGTCGGGCACAGAACCGCTTCGCACTGTTCTTTCAGACTGTGCACGTGCAGTTTGTCTGCAGGACAGTGTACCATTGTGTACGTATGCCGCTGCGCTGCAATCATGTAGATCTACACTGCATGTGCTTTGGCAGACTGGTGGCTTATTTTCTTTCGCTGCTGTGCATCCTTGGCGTCGTAGTGCTTTGACGCACTTCCAACAAATGCATTGGCCTGACGTGATGGATATGCATGTGTGTAGTTTTTGCCAATCTGCCAGCATTGAGCCGTGTGTGAATCGCATGTCAGATGGCACTTTGGAGCAAATGCTGCATTCTGGGCCACATGGTCGTCCAGGATGTATGCTTGTGGCATTGCTGAGTCTCCCTGCCGCTGACATATCTGTGCACACATGCATGGAAAATATACGTAATAAACACTACAAAGGTCAAAAAGAATGGTTTCACCAATTATAGAAACATACGTTGTAACGCTGCGTTTCATGCACGTAGCTAAATGCTAAGGCAATCATCAGACAACTAATGCTTTTGTCGCGGGATAGCTTGTTCTTATTGTGGGGGATACGCATGGGCATGTAGAGGAGGTGTGAGCTATCAATGCAGGGCATGCATGGAAAGAGCGAGTGATAATAATAATAATTTTAATTACATCACTGGATGGGCATGCGCAGTAGGCGCGAACTATGCATGAAGCGTGCAGAGGCGGAGAAACCACCAGGCAGGACAAGGGTAAGCCATGGGGGCACTGGGCAGAGGGTGTGATGTGTGGCGGTGGAAGCACACTGTGGTGTCCACATTCAACAGCCGCGGGTATTCAGAGGATGTGGCGGTGATAGTGGTAGCACGCGGTGGCTATGTCACGGCAGAGTAGGTGGAGAGGTAGAACTTGTTTTGGTGTCTGCACTTTGATACCAACTCCGACCTCTTGTTGAGCAGAGTGTGAGGCGTCTTGAAGGTGATGATGCGCAACTTTTCTGCTAAACACAAGCAGCACCTTTTGGATATGTTGCTGTAGGACTTGGCCCGATCTATGACTGCCCATTTGATGCTGTATTCCTCACCTTGGTCAGCCAGCGCCCATGTGTGCTTGGATAGCTCGGTCTTGGTACGGTACTTTTCATGCCGCATGCTGGTTAGGTGGTTGCCATAGCGCACCTTGAAGGGCGTCTCGCACAGGCCGATGTATTGCCTTTCCTCGCCGGTGCTTGGAGTTGTGACGGAGGCCTGGTACACCACTTCCCCCTCCAAGCATCCGCCGCCCAAAGGGCATGATGGCTTGGCTCGGCAGTTGCACCCTGCCGCAGATCTCTCTTCACCAGGCGTTAGTACCTTTTGGTTATGTCCCTTCATCAGGTAGGACATGTTGGGCATGCAGGAGTAGCTCAGCTTCAGTGTATTTCTGTTGAAGATCTTGTGTAGTGGCGACGCGGCAGGGAAATGTTTGCTGACTAGTTTGAAAAACCTCTGGCCGATGTTGGTGGATACAGATTTGCTGTATGGTGGGTTGTACCATGTTATGTTTCTCCTCCGCTTGTTCTTCTTCTTGGTAGGTCCACCGCCGTCGAACACCATGGCCTCCGGAAATCCGCTGGCAGATAGCGCAGCTCTGTATGCGGGTGCCGCGTTGGTGAATGCCTCCTCGTCGCACGAGATGTCGGACACCCGCCTATTGATCATTGCAGGTAGATTCCGGAGTATGTTCGGCGGGTGATTCGACTTGGTGTGTATGTATCTGGGTGCGTCATTGGGTTTGCGGTATGGGTGGTAGCGGCCGCTGGCTAGATCAAAGGTGACGTCGAGGAAGTCCACTGTCCTTTGGTTGGTACTGATGGTTATTCGTAGGCCAACGTCTTTGAATAGCTTCGTGATTGCCTTGCGGATGGAGTCCGCCTCGTGTCCCGTAGTAGTCCTGAGCACGGCCAGTCCGTCGTCGCGGTACAGCCCGACACTAGCCGGATCATACATATCCGCGAGTCGTTTGGTCAGGAACGCTCCCACTAGTTGGCACACCTCTGCCCCATCAAAACTTCCCATCGTCACATCGAATAGGCTCTGCCTGTCTTTCTTGGCCCACACCTTGCCATTGGCAAATAGCAGCGACTTTCGTGCGTGGAGAATTACGTCGATGTCGCACTGGGGAATGGGAGTGAATTGGGCGGCGAACTCGAGAGCCGTTTTCAGTAGCTGCTCCGAGATGGACGGGTAAAACTCGACTATGTCGAAGCAGACAAACGAGTATTGCTCCTTGTCCTGTATTCCCTTGAACCACTGGATCACCTCGGCAGAGTTTTTCCACAGGTTGGTCTTGGTGTGGCTCTGAACTGCCCGGATGATGCGGTCGAGAATCGCCTTGCTGATGACGCCAACCTCTGTTTTAGCGGGGTTTATGAGCCGGCATGGGAGGGCTTGAGTGAAATTCTCTTTGTGGTCCTTGAGTGTGAGAAATGCACCTGACTTTGCGAGGACATCCATCCTGTCTGCGACGTCTCGGTCTGTGGCGATTTCTCTGGCCTCCGTGTTTATTTCATTGTAGGCTCCCTCTGGTGCTGATTGGTAGTGCCTAGTCACGTTTTCGGTGAGCAGCTTCTGGTACTTGTCCTTCGGCATTTTGTATAAGTTTCTGGTTTTGTCCGCTGGGATGATCAGCTGCTCACTACCCTTCATGTCCTCGATGTCCTTCCTAAGCGTGTCTTGGAACTCGTCTGTAACCCTCCTGAAGTTGATGTCTCCGACCATTCGCAGCAAATCACCCTCGAACGGTTTTAGTTCGTCCAGCTGAGGTGGGCACGTTCTGGTTTTGAATCCAAATTTCTCCACTACCAATCAGCACCAGAGGGAGCCTACAATGAAATAAACACGGAGGCCAGAGAAATCGCCACAGACCGAGACGTCGCAGACAGGATGGATGTCCTCGCAAAGTCAGGTGCATTTCTCACACTCAAGGACCACAAAGAGAATTTCACTCAAGCCCTCCCATGCCGGCTCATAAACCCCGCTAAAACAGAGGTTGGCGTCATCAGCAAGGCGATTCTCGACCGCATCATCCGGGCAGTTCAGAGCCACACCAAGACCAACCTGTGGAAAAACTCTGCCGAGGTGATCCAGTGGTTCAAGGGAATACAGGACAAGGAGCAATACTCGTTTGTCTGCTTCGACATAGTCGAGTTTTACCCGTCCATCTCGGAGCAGCTACTGAAAACGGCTCTCGAGTTCGCCGCCCAATTCACTCCCATTCCCCAGTGCGACATCGACGTAATTCTCCACGCACGAAAGTCGCTGCTATTTGCCAATGGCAAGGTGTGGGCCAAGAAAGACAGGCAGAGCCTATTCGATGTGACGATGGGAAGTTTTGATGGGGCAGAGGTGTGCCAACTAGTGGGAGCGTTCCTGACCAAACGACTCGCGGATATGTATGATCCGGCTAGTGTCGGGCTGTACCGCGACGACGGACTGGCCGTGCTCAGGACTACTACGGGACACGAGGCGGACTCCATCCGCAAGGCAATCACGAAGCTATTCAAAGACG